CGCGAAGAAATTTCGCTGAATTTCGAAGTTGGATTTCGCATTTCTGCAAGTCGCAAACACCTCAGAAATTTCTTTCGGTCAATCGTTTTTAGTTAGTGCAAAAAAATTTCCATGGGAATTCTACGAAATGTCGCACAAAACAACCCAAATTTGTTTGTACGAGCAAATTCAAACACACATCAATAAATAAATAAGTATATTCGAGTCCCTAAAGGTTCGTCTAAAAGATTCGTTCACAAAATTCACAAAATTTATCCATCCACCACTCATCAAAAATTCACGTTTATTTATCGGAAGCAACTGGAGGCGGAGGTGCAAAATGACTGGCCGGAGGCGTGAACATCCCTTCGGTTAGATAACCCGCGATACCCGTTGATCCACCTGAAAAAATGCAATGTCATCAAGTCCTCAACCAATCCGCTGAGACCAAAGCAGGCACATCAGCTCAAATCCTCCCAAAACAAATATCACATACCGGTAATAGCTTGTGTCCTCTGTGCAGGCAAGAACAGATCATGTCGTTGATCGCGATATTGTGCCCATATGGGCGATTTATTCAACATCTCGCTGATCTTCTCACCGTACTGCAAATCCAAACAAACGCTCTTCAGCGCATCCACGATCTCAGCTTTGGCCGCTGACGAGTTCTCAACACCTTCAATTTTGAAAATTTTAACGGGGGAATGCAGTACACTGACTGACTGTTATCTATTATACTGAATATCTTTAAAAAATCCCACACGGCTGACTCTTCATCAAGTGCATTACACAACCTAACGTCACCATTTTGCACTTCAACAACAATAATAACAATCACAACTAAAATAATAACAAATCGAAATAAACGAAATAAAAACCTGGCATCGGATCGGCCAGCAGTTTGAGTAAATACTCAACCATTCCGCTCGAGATCATTTGCGCAGCTAACTCAGTGCAGCTTCGTTTCAATAGACACTTTAACGCGTGCGCTGACTCTCGTACAAGCGCTAAAATTTTCCTTATTTTTTTCACCATTTACTTTCCTTCCATCAAAACAGTCGTGGCGGAATTCCGCTAACAAAAAAACAAAAACATCGAAAAAGAAAAAAAACCATCAAAAAATCTCACACGGCTGATTCTTCATCGACTTCAGAATACCTCCAATACAGTCCAATTTCGCCAGCGAATCAGCACAATACTGAACAAACGAATCTAATGAACAGTTTTCGGAAGGAATATAATATAACATAATGTAAGAATAAAAACAAATACTTCCAAATAAAAAAATAAATACTTTTCAAATAAAATCAACCAATCAACTAACCGTATTTTCGGTTAAACGTGAAAGAATCAAAATCGCCGAACGTGACGCATCCGAATTCGACGATGTCATCGCTTGACAGAACTGCGGTAAATACCCTTGAGCTGGCAACTAAAATCATTTCATTCTTTCTCACTCAAATCAATTCAACTTACATTTTATTCGATGAACTTTTGCAAAAACCTTAATCAAAACTATTTTACCAATGATAGAATGAATGAAAATGCACCTGATCAACAGTAGTTGGGTGATTGACGATAAGCGCAACGAAAGCTTCAGTTACTAGCTGAAGTTCTGCGGTTGGTTTCGGCATCAAATCCAGAATTCTCTCCATCAATTCGGTGCAAAACTGTTTTGGATGACGCACTTGCCACGATGGATTCTGCACGAACAATCGCAAGAAAACACCACCGATTATCAGCTCGTTTGCGATCACGTCTGCGTACGCACAACGATCGTTGATGTTACCCTTCAATCACCGTTATTATCGTCACCACTGCTTTGACGATTCGATGCAACAATCCACCCAAAAGCCTTACTGAATTCCATTTAGCACTCAAATCGTTCTGTTGCATCGTATAGAGTTGATTCAGCTCGTTTTTGATGATCATTTTCACTTTTGCTCGCGTCTCGTCATCCCAAATCAACTCGGGATTTTCACTCTTTGAATCCAACATCGAGATTCTGAATTTCCGGCCGAATATAAACAAACAGAACAGAAAGTAAACAAAAGCAAACAACAACAAAAAGTAAACAAATAAACAAACAAACAAATAAAAAATAAACAAAAAATCTCTTACGCAGCTTGAGGCGAGTCGCGAAGAGCATCCGTGAAGACGGGTGGCAAATAGCGTGTAATGAAACGACTCCATCTCGGCCCAGTCAATTTGTCCGTTTGCAATTTTGCCAGCAACTCAGCCGCACGTATACGATCCTCTCCTGAATCCGCTTGATTCGCCTCGCACAGAATATGCAATATGTACAGCAATCCACCTGAACGACGACTCAATCAAATTTGTGAATATTCGTTAATTCAATTTTATGAAGACGAATGCAAATTTAATGGACACTCACAATCAGTGAAGAAATTATAACAAAAATGGATTCGAAGCAGCTGTCTGATTTCGAGAAATCAAAAAAAA